TCCATTTACTTGAGGGTGTTTTAACTACACATGAAAAAATTGGACCTATTTGTAAAGCTTGAAAAGTTTAGGTACCAAAATGCAAGACCAAAAAAATTTAGGTACCAAAACGTAATTTTCCATCGATATTTTGAAGGACTTATATGCAAAAAAAAATTAAATTTAGGCACTAAATATGCATATCTATTAAGTTTGGGTACCAAACTGTAACTTGTATTTGGGCATGGGTACAAACCCAAATCCATTTGATATAAACCCAACTCAACCCAAAGTAAATGGGTATGGGTACAAACCCATCAAACTCTACCCATATCCATCTATTTGGATTTCATACCCAACCCAATTGGGTTGGATAGTAAGAAACCCATGGGTATGCTAATTCGAACATGTTCCCCCTCGTTTCGTGATCGTTTGAGGCTGGTTTATTGCTCTCGTGACCTGTTTTACGCTTGTGTGCATTAGTTTATGATGTTTAGGCTAGCTCCAACCCATGGTGTCAAATTGCTATAAAGCCATATTTGGCTTTTTTTCTTCCTCCAACCCACAAAAAAATGGGAAGCCAAAAATGGGTATTGGGTTTTTGGAAGGGAAATATGGCTGGGTTTTGGGGTGGGGAGTGATATTTGGCTGCCAAAAAGTGGGGAGGTTGTCAGCTGGCGGAGAAGGGCGCCGCGCGGTCTTCCCCCGCGCGCGTGCGCCCCAGGCGCGCGTCCGGCGCCCTTCTCCGCCAGCTGAGCTGTTATCCTTTTTTTTTTCTTTTAACTTTTGTTGGTTGGGAATTTGGGGAGCCAATTTGTTTTGGATTTTTTTCCTCTATTCTCATTGGTGGTTTGTGATTCAATTTGAAATATAAATTTGAAATAATTGATGTAGTGACGAAAAAACGGTCATATTTTAACGGCCATAAAAAAACGGTCATATTTTAACGGCCATATTTTTTCTTATATATTACAGCACTCTTCATAGATTTCTCTTCACTCATTCTCAGAGCATAAATCGCATTCTCTCAAAATTCAATTGTTATCGTCTCTCAAAATAGGAATATGACAGGCAAGAGAGGACCTAATTGGCGTCCGAATGAAGATGAAATCTTGTGCAGAGCTTGGGTGTCGATATCAGAAGATGGAGCGGTTGGCACCAACCAGAAGTATACAAGGTTGTGGGAAAGAGTGGCGGCAGAACATCAAAAATGGGATCCTACTACAATTCGTACTGCTGTTGCAATGGAATCCCGAATGAGGATTATTTGCTATCACTGCAATGCTTGGAAGGGAGTTTTGCAAAGAGCACAAAGGCATCAATCGAGTGGCACGAACCAGTTTGATGTGGTATTCTTTCGGACCCTCAACTTGTGTATTTTCTTATTTTTATATGTGTCAATATAAACTTCTCTAACCCATGTATTACATATTTTATTAGGAAAAGGAGGCAAGAGCAATATATAAGCAAGAGAATGGGAACAAGGCTTTTGATTTTGAGCATTGTTTCGAAATTCTCCGAAATTGTCCAAAGTGGTACTCCAATCCTGACCTGCTCGTTAGTCCCATTCCACCTATGGGGCAAGGTTCCCAAAGTTCTCCCACAGGTTTTGGTTCTCAATCATCTCCCGTGGAAGGCCTTGATGACTTACCAGATGAAGGAGCTACGCCTTTCGTGTTGACTCGCCCTGAAGGACGCGACAAACAAAAGGCAGCAAAGAAGAAAGGTAAGGTAGTTGCTGAATCGTCAGACATATACACTACTCAACTGCTAGAGTTTGGTAATGATATGAGAGAGAGACAAAAGTCGAGGATGGAGTATGAAAACAGAAAAATGAATGTTCAAGAGAGGAGACTAGAGCAGGAGAAAGAGGAATGGGCATACAAGAGGCAAGTGAGGGAGCGTGAAGCGGAAAAGTGGGATGTGGAGAAGAAAGAGAGGGAAGCTGCAATACTTCAACAAAATGTAGCTATTCTAGAGAAGGATTTGTCAAAGATGACACCAAGAAAGAAGAGATTTTGGAGGCGTAAACAAAATGACATTTATGGGTACGATCAAGATGATCCCAACTCTTATCCAAGTGATGGCGGAGATGGAGATGGCGATGCAAGTGGTGGAGGAGATGTCGATTACTTTCCTGTCATGGATTATTAATTAGAAGAAGATCCTATTTGTACTCTATTGTCTTTACATCTTTAATGTGTTGTGTGTTCTCTTTCAACTTTGTTATTTTCATATGTCATGTGTACTCTTTGAACTTTGAGCAATTCCATGTGTAATAAAAACAAGTGTTATTGAAAGTTTGAAATACAAACTACCAAGCAACATGAAATACAATCACACACTCAAAACTTGAAATACAAACAACCAAGCAGCATGAAATACAATCACACACTGAAACTTGAAATACAAACAACCAAGCAACATGAAGTAAAACAATGCTAGATATTGCCGTGCAAATTCCAAAGATGCTCAACCAAGTCATTTCTAAGCGCATGATGTGTTGTAGATGAGCGAAGCCTGTTATTTCTAGCCAAGTAATCAATTAGAGTTGATTGGTGTCGGTTGATTGGTTCAGGTTGTGCATGGATCTCATAATCAAGGTCATCATCCATCTCGTCATCAGAATCAACCTGCTCATCCTCGATTATCATGTTGTGTAATATAATGCACGTCAGCATTATATTGTTAAGTGTGACAACATCCCAAGCTCTTGCAGGGCCACGAACAATTGCCCATCTTGTTTGGAGGATTCCAAATGCCCGCTCTACATCTTTGCGGTGTGCTTCTTGATGTTGAGCAAACAAAGCCTCTTTGTTTGACCTTGGATTGCTGAAGGTCTTCACTAAAGTCGACCATGAGGGATAAATACCGTCAGCCAAATAATAACATTGATCATAAGCATGACCATTTACCTCAAATCGTACATGTGGAGCGCTTCCATTGACGATACGATCAAACACTGGAGACATCCCCAGAACATTTATATCGTTGTTCGATCCAGGTGTCCCAAAGAAAGCATGCCATATCCATGTGTTGTAGGAGGCCACCGCCTCCAGAATGATTGTTGGCCTATGCATGTGGCCGGTGTATTGTCCTGCCCAACCACTTGGACAATTCCTCCATTCCCAATGCATGCAGTCAATTGATCCAATCATTCCAGGAAAGCCACGACTTGAGGCTTTACGGAGTAAGATCCTTAAATCAGCAGGAGTAGGTGCGCGAAGGTATGTGGCCCCGTACATGTTGATAATGTTGTTGCAAAACTTTCTGAAGACCTCCATCAAAGTGCTCTCACCCATACGAACATACTCATCAAGTTGATCAGCTGGAGAACCATATGCTAGCATGCGCATCGCACCAGTAAGCTTATGCTCTAGAGATAGTGACAATTGACCAAAGCTATCACGCCTTAGAGCAAATGAGGGGTCAAACCTCACAATGTCGCCCATAATGCGATGGAATAATCTTGGCTGCATCCGATAGCGCCTTCTGAAGATGCGAGCATTGTATACTGGATTTGGATCGAAGTAATCCCTCATAAGACGTCGATTACATTCGACCCTCTCACGATCAATGTGACGTCGGCTTGTAGTTTGACGGCGACTTGATGCACCTTCAGCCAGCCTCCGACCGATCAAACTCAAACGTAGGTGGTGAAACCTTTCGTACTCTTCGTTTTCTTCTTCTCCAGACGATGAGCTATCTGAGATACTCATGATGAATGTGTTTGTTTTAGAAATGGGAAGAAGTTTTAGTTGAGTTGATGAAAATGAAGAACTGTCATTTATAAAGACATTTGGTGCAAAAAATGACAAAAAAACAGTGGTAAAGTAACGGATACAAAAAAACGGTCATATTTGGAGTGGTCCCGAAGTTTTAACGGTAGTATTTTAACGACTAATTTTTGAAAAAAAAATTATCTCGGAATTTAAAAAAAATTACATCGAAAAATTTGTATTCAAAACTAATAACGAGCTATGAAAAAATTAAAGTGAAATATAAAAATTAGAGGTCAAATAAGTATGGTTTATTGAAATAAATTGAAAAAGGGAAATGGGAAGCTAAATTTAGCTTTTTATAGGGTTGGAGTGAAAAGTGGGTTTGGGGAGCTAAAAAGCCATATTTGGCCATTTGGGGAGCTAAATTCCCCTTTATGGGTTGGAGTTAGTCTTAAGGCCTTAGTGCCTGAACGGGCACGAAGGAGCGAAGTTTGGGAGATTTTGGAACGAACGAGCAGCGAGTGCCTGGGAGATACGGTCAGACCTTGCAAGTTACGGTATGGCCCGTAACTCCCCTCAAGGAGCCGTAACTGGCGAGTGATGGATGAAAAGTTCCAGAAGACATTTTGGAGTTACGGGCAGACCTTCGAAGTTACGTTATAGGTCGTAACTCAGCCTTTTCACCCGGAACTCCTAGTTAGCAAAGATATCAGTTCCAAAGATGATTTTGGAGTCACGGTCTCCCTCTTCAAGTTACGGTCGAGGTCGTAACTCCTCTAAAGAAGCCGTAACTCTTGGTTTACGAAGTGCAACAACGACGTCGTTTTCAGGAGAGTTACGAGAGGGCAAGCCAAGTTACGGCCGTACTTTCGGCCGTAACTCGCGGATTCTCAACCTATTTAAAGGCTGCTCGGGAACTTTGCAAAGTATCTGGATTTTTGGACTTCCAAAGGTAGAAAAGAACCCTAGAGAGAGTGACGAAGCAAAACCCAAGGGAAAGGATTAGAGCGATCTAAAGCCTTGGAGCTCGATTCCCTAACCTCGGTGTACCAATTAGCCGCCAGGAGCAGTTGTCCATTGTCGTTCTGATGATGTCTACTCCGAGCATGACGTTCACACATCTCTCCATGGAGTAATTTTCCATTTCACCTGGGTATGAAAAACCCTAGTTGTGTATGTTAGGAATGATTGTATGAACCCAATTTGCGAATGATTGATTTGATAAATTCAGTTGAGTAATTATTCAGAATTGCACGAGTCCTGATTAAACCTGTGTAAATCCGGCTTTAACCTAGAACGATAGTCTTTGCATAGGTTAAAAGAGCAACCTCTCATTGGAAGTGGTGAATCGACTGCTTTAGTCGAGAAGTCAATTCACTGCTCCATACTAGAACAAAGTCCAGTAGTGGAATTTTCGCATGGTTAACCTTGGTTAGTGTATGCCGGTGGAGGTTAGCCGCCCGCCAGGTTTTCGAACCAAGAGGGTCTGGATAACTTCAGGTGAGAGTCCAGACTAGTAAAGAAAATTAAGCGGTTTATCTATCAATCTGAGTAATTTGGGACCGTATAGCCTGAACTAGCTGCACCCTAGGGGGAATCATACCCGAATGAACTTTTGAACATGAAAAGAACCACACCCTTACTTGCTTTTTGTTTCTTTTGCACTGAAATCACTACACTCTTTCAGTCCTGCTAGATAATAGGAGTTCACTGAGTAGACAGTAGATCTAGAGCTCGGGTCGATAATTAGACATAACCACTATTCTGCATTTCCACTCTGCGATTATACTTGGTCGTAGTTTGGTGTTGTGTCGTAGCGTGTCAAGTTTTTTGGTTACTGCAGTTGTTCTACTGCAGTTTAGTGGGTTGTGATGATGTGTGGGCGGATTGGTGGACCAGTGGATCCAATTCCCCCAATTATTTTGGTTACTAACGGGATTCGAGGTATGTTGTTGTCTGTTTTGCTGGAAAATGGTCAACCTGGACCATGCCTTTTTCCAGGGCCTCCGGTACACCGACGCCTACGATGCGGCGTTTGCCAAGATGAGGGTGGCCGAGATTGGGTGCCACTACACACTCAATCTCGCCTATTCGACCAGTTCCTCTGCCGCGACGCCATGGCGGCGACCATCCCTCATCCCCAATGGCGCCGCCTGCTCGAGCTCCAGGACGACATCTACGATGAGCTCACCCTGGAGTTCTACAACACTTCCACCCACATCAGGAAAAAGCTGGCTTACCATGAGGGCGCAGTCAGTTTACGCCTTGGGGGTCACCACCACAGTTTGAGCTACCACGAGTTTAGCACAACCCTGGGCATGGACTCCACTCACATGCACGAGGTCGAGCCAACCTTTTCGCAGGCCGACTACCGGGGTTCTACAAGCGGATCTGCGTGCACCTCCCATACGCGCACAACCGAACCAGAGCCACCTAGCTTCATTGTAACTATCCCAACCAAACAATCACCAATACCAAACAAGAAAATGGATGTATTGAGATTTACATCGTTTGGTTTATGTGATAGTTATTGTAGTATTTAAATAAGTTATATTACTTTTGGGGTGAGATGTCATTTTTACCATTTGTTTTATATAAGAAAGCAACACACATAAAAAGGTATGGACATAGTTGGAAGAAGAAAATACTCAACAATCTCACCAAACATTCTTAACAATCTCAATCACTCATTTTGAGTGATAGTTTGTGTCATATCCAGCAAAAAATGCATGTATTATTTGTACAGAAAATTCGAAAAAATAATGCATTGTATATAGGAATAGCAATGGGCAGGTTTGCCTAAATCATCCTCATCCCCGCTTTCAAATCTCCAAACCCATACCCTTCTCATACCCATGCGGAGGAAGGTTTTGCAAACTCATCCGCATACACCTAAAATTTTATATATCCAACATTGTATATATCCAACATTGTAACACCTAAAATTTTATATATATATTTTCAATAATAACATCAAACGCACATGCTATATCATTAAGTCGACAAAGAGTTTGTTTGCCATCCTCCCTAATTGTAGGTATTGTAACTATCACAACTAAACAATTACTAAAACCAAACGATACTTGTTATTGGAAGTTTTTCTTCAAATAAAGAAGACGATGTTAAATCGAATAAAAAATAAGACTTTGTTAGTTTTAGTGCTTAAAGAATTCTATAAAGGCGAAACATCAAACAAGTCTATGGTTTCAAGGTGATTTTCCAACATTCTATATCAAGCCAAGGTTACGTCTTCTTCCAATTAATATTAGCAATTATGAAGTGATATCATCGTGAATATGGTTGTTGGGAATTAATGAGGGCACAACACATGTTGAGCACCACATCGACAAAACACACTTCTCTAGTCTAGCTAGGTTCACATTGCTAATTCATTGGATTCCTTAGTTTAGTTGTTGGTGAAGTCACAAACCAGACAAAGAAAAATGTTTAAATGGGATTAGAGGGGTCCATCCCATTTACTAACACAAACAACAACAACAACACAGCAGGCTCAAAATTCTGTCTTCACATTTTCAGAGTTTTGTCGTAATCCCCACATTATCATCCCAACACACACCACCATCCTATTCCTATGTAAACCAATCGTTGTTTTCCCACCTATATCTCTTTAAATAGGAGAGTTGAACTGTTGGGATGGTACAAGTTCTTTAACTCAGAATCTGCAACTACCATCGAATTTTCGACATAGCATTTTAGTTCATTGAATTCACATGCTAGTTAGGGATGGCAACTTTGCCCATACCCATGGGTTTCTTACTATCCAACCCAATTGGGTTGGGTATGAAATCCAAATAGATGGATATGGGTAGAGTTTGATGGGTTTGTACCCATACCCATTTACTTTGGGTTGAGTTGGGTTTCTATCAAATGGATTTGGGTTTGTACCCATGCCCAAATACAAATTACAGTTTGGTACCCAAACTTAATAGATATGCATGTTTAGTACCTAAATTTAATTTTTTTTTGCATATAAATCCTCAAAATATCGATGGAAAATTACATTTTGGTACCTAAATTTTTTTGGTCTTACATTTGATACCTAAACTTTTCAAGTTTTGCAAATAGGTCCAATTTTTGCATGTGTAGTTAAAACACCCTCAAGTAAATGGATATCCATATCCAACCCATACCCATTTAGATTATGGAAGCCCCAAACCCAAACACATCTATAAACCCCCAAATCCATTTGCACTTCACTCATACCCAACCCATTATCAATGGGTCTACTTGGGTTTGGGTATAATTACCCATAGGTGGGTAATTTGCCATCGCTAATGCTAGTATCGTCGAATTTTTCTGAAAGTTTGTTGCTATAACTATTTACTCGATTTTTTTTTAAATATTATTTTCTCTAATTTCGTATCTTGTCTAACATAATTATCTTTGTTTCTTTACGTGCCACTTCCATAGTGTTGATTATCCAAATGTGACATGTGGCATGAGAGTATTGTATTAACTAATTAGTTTATATTTCAGTATTTCTGATAGAGCACCAACTTATGTAAAATACAAGCTAATTATGTCATGACCATCTGGCCACTTGGCTTAATTGTCCGTCGTCCAAGTGGTTGGAGCTGTACGATTGAGGCCCAATTAATAAGGGTGGGGGCAGCTCGGCCCACAACGGACAGTGACATTTGCAGCCAGGTTTGCTACTGCGACACAGCACAATGGTTACTTCACCGGCCCACAGATCGGGCCCGTTTTGACCGTATATATTGAATGGACAAGTGAATGGATGTGATTGTATACCGTATCTTCTCTTTTCCCATTTGGGAAATACCTATGGCAAAAAAAAAAAAAAAGTGAGAATGATGTTAATAATAGGAGCTAGTCTGATCTGGTTCAGAAGAATGATGCCATGCCAGTGCCACATAGGATTTGATGGGAAATTGAAGAAGAAGAAGAAGAAGAAGAAAAAAGAAGGATTGAGATTTGTGACGGAACTGAAAGTTATAATATGACGAATCTTGTTTGGTCCATCAGTTTCATTTCAACTGAAACTAGCAAGTTCCACTCATTCCTTTTTTTTCCCCTTCTTCAAATGAAACTAGTATAAGGAGATATTTCATCACTTACATACCAAAATTACTGAGTAACATATATAAAACATCGTAAAAGATAATAAAAGATAACGTGATTCACTAAATGTATCTATGTTGACCTATGTTACTTTTCAGAATCGGAACGGATGTTGATGAAGCGATGAAGTTAGTGGTTGATGGATATTGTTCACCGTTACAGAATCGTTTGTTAACCGTTGATAGAACCGCTCAATCATGCACTATAACATAAAATACATATATAATACACTAATTTATGAGTGGATTCATCACTGATCATAATCAAATTCAAATTCATATCATCTATCACCAAAAAGTTTTTAACAAAGCATTCAAATGATCTAACGCAAAAGAAATCAGGACTTTTTATTAAATTCAAAGTCAGTAATCAGGATGTCATCAATCCATGGTGAGCCGGATTAAGCCAACAAAGAAATCTGGAAATGAAGAAAAGAAAACATAAATGAAATTAGTACCGATTGAGGTTGGATTGTTTTAGTTAAGTTACAGTGTTTTATTGTTTTGTTAAAACAATGAACCAGCGAACCAGCTAAACAGAAGTGGTTCATATGATTTCATGTCAAATCATAGAAAACAATACAATCCTTTCATAACCGGCCAATTAAGTAAACCGAACTGCTATTCTAATTTGTTCTGATTTCATGAATGCATCATGTATATCGCTCAAAACATTTCACCAAGTGGGCTGGGGTGGGCTACACTTTCCTCATGTTTCAAGCAAGCAAGCAATTGCATGTAATATATGTCTCGTCGTTTGTTTGTTTATTATTTGCCTTTATCTCAACCTCTTTTTGAGAGCGCATGGCTTGTCGTGTGAATGAGAATGAGAATGAGAATGAATGACCCTCCTGCACTGCACTGCACTGCACGCCTATGACGTATATGTATATGTATTTGTATAACTATAAGCTTAGCTTATTAATTATTAGTTGGCATAATTAAGAAGATTACTTACTACATACATTGTACGTACGACTTGTGACGAATTGCGATTCAATCATTTAATTATATATATGACATCAATATATGGTTTAGTGGTAAAGAGGACCCCCGTAGGCCATAGCTTTGGGATATAATTGGAAAGGATCGACTTTCTGTGATCTTAGTTTTGATTTTATGCGTCTATTATATATACTAGCTTATTACCCGGCCCGTTGGCCGGATTACTGTATGTTACCCACTTGTGGAATGGGAGAGAAAGCAAGTGAGAGTGAAGGGATTGGGATTCCACTTGATTAGGACCGGCCCACTAATCCGATTCTTCCCGACCCGCCCCAACCTAAAGGGTCAGAAAGAGCCAATAAGAAAATACGAACGGAGAGAATTAGTAATATATCTTGACTCTTCAGAAGTGGGTCAAACAGGATAAAGGTTGGGTGAGGGCAATTTTTAGCGCTAAGCAGAGTTCTGGGTTGAATAACTTTACTTAGGCCTAGAAATTGGTGCTGATGCAGACTGCAGTTTTTATCATACCATCATCAATCATCATTGAATTAGTCCTGGGCATCCCTCCCCGTTGTCGGTCTGAATTTTAATGATGGCTTCATTCCTTGCACCAGCCATATCAGCGAGTTGTCATCTCGAGCATGATTTGCCTATGTACAAATGATACAATTAGAGTATGAAACTGAATTCAAAGAAAAGGAAAAGAGAATTCTATCACATGCCAATAAATACACACATAATAGTTGAAGCTAAGTGAAAGTCATTACTCGCACACAGTGGCGGACCCAGAATTGTCGAAGAGGTGTGTCGCCGATAAAATAAAATAATAATTAAATTGAAAATTAAGTTAAAATTAAAAAAATAATAATTCATGAAGTTCACAATGTCATGTTTACAACGAACCACGACGACTTTTCATCTGCTGAAATGTCTCTAAAATACATTCATCACTTATGCTGCAAAGCAAATCTTTTTCAATATACACAACTAAACAATCATTCATAAATTGGTCACTCAACCGATTTCGAAGATCGTTCTTGATTATCTTCGTAGCTGAAAATGCTCTTTCGCAGCTTGCAGTTGCCACAGGTAAGGTCAACACCAACTTTAACAGCAAGTAAACTAAAGGATAAAGAGTGTCCTTTCCCCTTTCCACCAATTTCCTAGCTAGCTCGTCGATTCCTCGCAATCCATCAAAGCTCTTATCCTCCTTGACATGAGAAATGTAACCCCCCAATTGTTGATGAAGTCGTGAGAGCACATTGGATGGAAACTCCTCGGGATAAAACTCAGTAAGACTCATCAACTTTGCTTTATCAAAAGAAGCAAAAGAGTTAGCTGGACTAAAATAAGAAATGCAGTCCAACAATCGAGTGTTCACCTCACCAAATCGAGTATTCAATTCTTGCAGCTGCAAATCTATAACTGCATAGAATAAATCGACTTGATA